CGGGGGGGGGGGATAATTTATTTTAGTGATGACTCTTGTGTATTAAAATTTGTTGTTGCTTTGTTTGGTTTATTTTTTAACAGCAGAATCTTAACTGAACTGGAATTATTGATTGTGGGATCTTAGGTGAAGACTACAACAATAGAATTAAACCGAGTATAGTTCTATCTAACAAGACTCAAACTCTTATCCACCCCACCCTACCCTCTCCCTTCATCTGATATGGTTTGGTGTTTGTTAGAAAATATTAATCATTATTGTTGTTGAGTAGGCCTATTGATTTCCTGTTCTAATGGAGCCTCTAGATATCTACATTTAGACAACAGTAGCATCTAATTTGCACACACAATGGAAAGCAATATAAATGTATAATATGTATATACATACCCCTAATAATTATATTTATTTATAAGAATAAGAATACTTTTTTAAAAATTGAGTATCTCGGTCTTTCTGCTGGGGTGTTGTATCCCTTTCAGCCTGGGTTGGCCTTGGCAGGTAGCGCCGGAGCCAGCCTCTTATGAATGTTAATGATCTAAATTGTGTTGCTGGGGGTAAAAACACTTTCATTCAAATTTTTAAAAAGGAAAACAACTTAACTGTGAACACTTCGGTCCACTGCAGCATCACATCGGTTCTTACACTTAAATACAACACAGATGCAAGGCATTTTTACTAATTGACTTGCCTAATCTCAAGGACCTCGGAAGAAAACCTTCTTTCTTATCTAGATTTCAGTGCGTAAGTCGGGCATTCGCTCAGCGCAGGTAGACCACAGTTCCGCCGCGAGAGAGGGCTCCTATCAGGCGTGCGGTGCCGGCCACAGAGCATCCTCCATTACTTTTAATCTCCTTGGAAGTGCATGTAGTTTTGTGCTTCCACCCTGCCAGCTAGGGCCAACCTGCACTGAAAAGGGCACAACGTCCCAGCAGAAAGATGGAGTTACTCGATAAACATCTACTCCTGTGGGTGGTTGGCGGGTGCTCTGGTGTTTGCTTCTTCTTTCCTATCAGACATCTGTCGTCCTTATCTCCCCTTCTTCTTTTTTATGTTTGTTACTCTCTTGCAGCTCCTCTAATCTTCTGGCGCTCATTTGACCTTATGTAGTTGCGAGCGCCGACTCCCTCACGGGAATCGAACTCATGTCTTCTGTGTGCGACAGTTAATTATGTAGCAACTACACCACAAACACCGGCGTTGAACCTATGTTGGGCAGAAGGGGAACAATCAATGATAATTATTCAAAGGATTAAAACTGACGGAACACGGTTTGCCCCCCCCCCCCCCCCCCCCCCCAAAAAAAAAAAAAGGGGACACTTAAAATGTCTTTTAAGAAGTTGCCTGTTTGCCCCAGCCAGTTGAGGGTCCTTGGTGAACAGTGGGCACCAGATAGCCAGTAGAATTTGGATAAATAGAAACACGTCGACACAGGGGCGAAGCGTCTATATAATCAAATAATCACTGCTTCCCTTTCTAATTTTGAAACATTGTCGCTGTCAAATTCATCCTTAAACGTAAACCTCACAAATTAAATGTCAAAAGACGTTTGTAGTCAACAAATAAAGTGAGGCTGGAATAGAGTTGAAGGGAACATGTGCATGGCAGTCAAAGCTGTTTCATTGCCACATATACCCTGTTCACCCCTTTGGGGCCACAGTTAAAATCAATCACCAGCCCTGATTAAGTAAGCTAACTAACACTGGTCGAGTCTACCTCACAAATGTGAGGGGAACTAACTCTTAATAATCTCTTGACTGCTGCTTGTGCTTGTTTTTTTTCCTCGACTTTTTACCGTCCTATAATCAGATCGTGACCTCGATTATGACACCAGCTCCTGGCCGCGAAAGGCTAACAAAAACAGCCAAATGTGAAATTAACAAAATAATAATTGTCATGTTCTACCAAAGAGTTAGACTCACTGGTAGATCTATAACATATAGATCTAGTACTGACATCTCTGCTTCTTTGCTTTATGTTTATGTATTCACATCTAAAGTTAAGTTTAATTTTAGTGGGAACTGATATTTAATAAGATACTTTCCCGATTATTTTGGCGGTTGAACATACAATATGAATTCCGGATTTGTTTTCATTCACAACTCAGAGTCGCCACCTCGAGTAAGATTCTTGTGTGATATCTACAGGCCCTATCTGGTCCCATTTCACTTTGATTACCCTGTCAAACAAGTCAGCCTTCGCCCCTGCGTCGACACAATAACAGCCTTTTAGCACAGGTAAAAAGAAACACAAACCCACAGAAGCAACAGGGAAAGAAAAGAAATATGACATACTCAGTGGCCCCCTTCACCCACCCTTGTGGATAACTACATGTAGCATACCTTCAACTCCAATCAGCCGTTTGTAGACAAGGAAGTGCCTATTGTAGACCTATAGGGTACATGTAGGCCGATACAGTAGATAATCGTGAGATTGCGGGTTCCGGGGCCTCAGCTTGGTCTGACGGTGTATCCTTGGGAACGACACTTTACGCGATTTTCTCTATTTATTGGCTCGGTCCTTTCGGAGATGGACATTAAACTCGGAGGTACCGCCTCTTAAATAATCTAATAGTGTTGATACGGGCGGCAAACCTATACCCACCATTTCACCTATACAGAAGTAGGCTTGGCGTAGAGACAAACACAATGACAGATCACCACATCCCAGAGCCCTCCTGCTGGCGTAGGTAATAGGTATCAGGACACACAGACAGCACGCTAAAGTCTTCAACTCACGTTGTCTGCAGGCAAAGAGTGCCTCGCGCAGATAGAATCAAAGTTACACACTGTGACAGGGGCGATTTACATACGAGCCGGCATGATAAACAAATTGTATAAAGGAACGAGTCTCTGTAGTGCGACAACACACCAAAGAACCACTATTGTCTCTCAGAGCGCCTTCAGGTCGATCAAGCGCTTCTTTAACGTTGATTAGATATTAAAATGTATTTACTTGAAATTAAATAAAAATCATTGTCAGCAATCAATCTCTTGTCCATTGCACAGCCGATAGAAAGTGACCGGCGCCGCCGGTCTAGCCAAGTTTTTCTTTTTCTTTTTTTTTCTTTTTTTTTTTTTTTTGGGGGGGGGGGTAAGTGTTTTGCGGCGTTTGCAACTGCATAAGGTCATAATATGAGCGCCCAGGACACACAAAACATTTTCAGTAGGTAGGAAATTTTGAATTTTGCCCGGGTGGCGGCCGAAGCCTACTGTTATCGATTTTAGACCACCGAAGGATCTTTAACGTGCACAACTTACACACGGGACCTCCAAGATTTTTCGCCCTTGTCCGAGAAGGCTAGGTGTAGATCTTTCCTACCGGAAGATCAGGGGTGTGGCTTAAAGACAGCAGTAAGAAGGAACCAAGCAGAAGCAGTAGAAAGGCTGCAAAAAGGTTCAGGAACCCAAAGGAGGGGGCAAAGGAGGTTTTAAGGGGAGAAAGAGGAGGCGAAAGCAGACGTCAGAACATTGCTAGAGAGCAGGAAAGGAGGTGCAAGGAGACAATGGTCGGTACCCAGATTCGAACCCGGGACCTTTGAATGAGATGTGAACACCGTAACCTCTAGGCCACGAGAGCCCCCTTTTGCCCAGTGAAAGAGCCGCGTCTGATCATGATGAGATAAGAATTCATTATAGCATCTTCACTTTCGTCTGTCGGATTTTTGAAAAAACAAACTCTTTGAACATTTACATTGTATTGATTTGCCAATGTGCACGAAACTTTGCATGGAACTCCTGTAAGCAAGCAACCAAACAGAAATTTGATACCAAAAAAAATATATTAAAACATTTTTGATCCAGCATTTAAAAAAAATTCTTCATTTAGGCTCTAATATTCAACACCGCCCATTCGGTGCACAGGCCTAAACAGGATCATTACAATAACCGATTACAGTAATCTAGCGTACAGAAACTGCTCATTTTGAGGCAGCGACACCACCCTGCCCCC